TATAGACTGTATATGTKTTCATTTACAGATCACTGAAGTGGATAGGCAGATAAATAGGGTTTTCTGAGCTTGTGAAATATGTAGCATAATATAAAACCCTCTTCTAAGTCTGTTTTGTCAAATGTATCAAATGATATTTTAAAAACTATGTTTCTGGAGTATATTTTCAGCATTTCTTATTGCTGTTCTTGATCTATGTTTGACAGTCCTTTAATCTGTCTGATATAAACTGAATGAATAGCAGCATTTAATAATATGGCTTCAGGGACTCCTTAGGAGTTTCTTTGTAAATATACTTTTACTAGCTCATCTGTAAATTTATTTTATGAGGTGTTTAAACCTCAAGAAAACTGAAAAGCATAATATTAAAACCTGGCTTACATCTGCTGAAGTCAATGGGACCTTTGCAATTGACTTTAATGGTAGCTTCTGTCCTCTAATTATGAAAGTGGCAAGGATGATATACACAAAACCACAAGGACAATTTTCTGTTTCGTCATATCCTATTCTGCTTGCAGATTCATTTGCAAAGTACAATAGGGTTTGTTCTTGAATTAAACAATTCGGTGTTTGGACCTAATCTTGAACCACATTGATACTTTAGGCTGTGTTTTCCTTCTCAAAAGATCACAGGCTGCTCATTTTCTCCAGGGCTTATGAAGGTGACAAGGTAAGAAATCCAGCCAAATATTCAAATTTTCAAAAGGCTTTTGAAAATTACACTTCTGGTTTTGATCTTACATCTGCCCTATGGTATGAGTAATGGAAGAAGTTGATGAAGCAGTTTGCTTCCTAATTGTCTTGTTTTTTTCATGTGATCCATTTTGACAAATTTCCTGGAAAGGCACGTAATATCTGTACACTTATGTACGTGTTTTCCCTCAAGGTTCATTGCAGTGTAGTAGAAAGTTTCCATCACGCTATTGTAATTCCAGGCATAACTTTTTTATTGTGTTAGTGAAAGTGAGTGACAGTTCACCACAACAAAAAAAAAAGACTCCCAGAATTCAGATTTTTTTCCTGTTAGCATAGCAAGCACAGCAGTCTGAACTGGCTAGATATGGTAAGTAATTTGTAGTAGTAAATAATGCTAGACAAAAATTCCCACAAGCTTCTTGTTGAGTCTGCTTCAGGTATTACTCATTTGGTGGCTTAAAAATCGGTCTTGCTTCACACTTCTGATACTTGTGAAAGATTTAGATATTTTGTTGGTAACTGGAGTTGGTTAAAGATGCAGATAAGAGTTTGCCACAAGTTTTTGGTTGGTGCCATGCTCAGTTGGAAAATGACCCCTGTGTGGGGTGGAAATGCTGTCCCTGGGGTGCATCAGCTCCACTGGAACCACAGAGGGAGCTGGGCTGAGGGGCTGCTGCCTGGYCCCCACTGCTTCCACCAGCCAGCCCTTGGGTCTCTCCTGGGCTCATCAGACTGATGGTGTGGTAATAAATAATGAAATGGGTAATGTCACCTCTTCCCTCCAGCCCCCATGTTTCTTCTGCCCTAGCACAGCCAGCTTCCACCTTGTCCATGCAGTGGGCTAGCRGCTCTCTGGCTTCCTCTTCTTCCCTCCTGCCACACTGGTGGCAGATCAGACCTTTGTTATCTGCCTCCCCAAGCCCACTGAGTCCTCAGGCTGCTGCGCCTCCTGGATGTCCTTCCCCAAGGCTTCACTGGACACTGCTTTTTTTGAGGTATCCCAGTGTTAGGACAGCCAGGAGTTCAGCAGCCCTGGGGTTTTTCCTGCTCAGTGATGCAATTGTTTTGGGAGTGACCTGGAAATATTGTATATTGTCTTTCTCAAAAACCCCAATGTGTCATAAATTCTTCCTCAAGGAAAAAAAAAATATTATAAGTATTTATTGCAGGCTAAGACAAAATTTGTGTGTGTCAAAACTACTTTGGTAAAAGTTAGTAAAAGAGAACCTGCAGAAATCATTCCAGATGCCTGCCATAGCCCTTAGTTCATCTTTAGAGTCTAGACATGGACAGAGATCTCCGTAGTATAATTAGAGAAATAAATGACAACTGGAAATTATGTGTCTATGTGAGACTTAGGCTTGCTAGATGGAGCTTGGAGGAAGGTGTGCAGAAGTAGGGCCCCACTCTTTGAGGAACCTATAAACATGGTGGATGAAATACTTCAACAAATGACTTCTCAGCAAATCCTGTTTTACTTCAGTTTTGAGGACCACCATGGCTTCTAAGGAAGAATGAAAATAAAGTAAATTTCAAGCGCTCACAGGTCTACTTTGTTTACAGTAAATATAAAACTAAATAGAAATAAGACTGTAATTAAAGCTCCTGATTTTGAAGAGGAAAATTTTCATAAATGATATGATCTAATGACTAAAGTCATCCAGAYTGAGGCACTTTGGGGTTGAAATGTGGAGAAGGTGTAAATTTTTTAAAGTTTCAGATGTGAAAGCTGCCTAGAACTTATATTCCAAACAAAAGACAGTTGGGAAAAGCACCTTGTTTAATTTGATAGGTAACCATCACAAAAAAAGATGTTGTAGGCAATGCAAAGACAGAAGGAAAATACGAATGAGAATAGAAAGTTGTATCTCAGAGTCAGGATAWGCAGGAATAAAGTAAAAACAAGTGAGAGAAGCTTGAGAAAAATACCAAAAAGTTCTTATGTAGAAAAAAATGTGGAAAAGAGAAGGACACTTGTGCTGTGAAGAGGAACTGTAATCTGTCTTTTTAATAATAAATTAATGATGATCTAGCAACAGAACAAAGTCTGGAGGTTTACTGAGGATGTGGAAATGGCAGATAATCAAAGGGGGAACAAAGCTTAGAGCAGTTCATGGGCTCTAAGCAGGGTAGTGGGAAAGTTGTTCAAAATTCAGACTGAACAGGGATATGAAACCATGTGTGAGTATCTCATGAAGAGGAGGGGGACCATGTGACAACACAGCTCCTCGATGTATGAAGGGAGGAAAGATTGGTGTGAAGATTGGCCTGTTATTCTGATTCAGAGGTGTAAATCTTTAAAGGAGATATTGAAGGAAATTCTGGCCTTTAGTACTCTGAAGAAATGGACACACTTCCCCAGTTGTAAAACTGAGCCTTCCAGACCTCTTCAGGCCAATACAGAATAAGTGACATTCCCCAAACTTTTAAGTTACCTGGTATTCACCCTATGGGGCAAAGACCTGATCACTGAGAAGTGGCTSCACAGTGCCTGGGCAGCCCACAAAAGCTACTGCACCCTATAGATAAACAGTTCCCTCTGACCTGACTGCAAAGGGCTGTAGTTGAAAGAAGACAAATTCCTCTCAGGACAATGAAGAAATATGTAACAAAGACCCTTACAAATACAGAAATTATGTGGGTAAGACAAGCAAAGAAAGCTTGAGAGAAAAGGGGGGAAGGTAAGGACATATTTGAGACAAAAGAGAGCAAGTTAAGGACATTTTTTTTGCGGGGGGGAAGAAGGTACACTCAGAAGTACAGAACCAACGAAAGATGGAGGAAGGTTGGTTAAAGGGGGAAGAAAAGTGTGTCCATTGGGCAGAAGAAAAGCTACACATGCAAAACTAGTGAGAAAATGAAGCCATGGTATCATATATGGTTATTTCTTTTTCTGTGTGCATCAGTTTAAAGTAATGTTTAACTTTGGTGTTAGAGGTCACTTCTGCAGAGCCTGTGGCTGTTCCCAAGGAGGTAAGCTGGAGCCAGAATGCCTTTGAGGAAGAGCTTCTTGGTCATAGTGTGGTTTGGTAGCTGAGGGAGTTTGGATGAGCTGTGACTCATCAAGGGGCATGTGCTGCTTGGTAGGGGAGGGGATGGAAAGACTTCTATGGGAAATAATGCTGGAAACACATTGCCAGAAGTGATGAGAATGCTTAAAAATATTGCAGCTGCTGTGCTCTGGTCCAAACCTGTTTCCCAATAGCTGCTGAATAAGAAGTTGGGTGGGTCTACAGCAATCACGCACATCACGCATCATCTCAGAGAACAAAGGTTAAAGGGCTGTAGTTAAGAGTGTCCCAGGTGAAATAAAGAGAATGGGGTATGAAAGTGTCCCCAACTCCAAGTTCATTCCATACAATGTGAGTTCAATAGGTGGAGTGTAGAGAGAAGAAAAATGTGGCCAAATTCAGAGCTCTTATTCTTGTGGAGGGGTTTATTTGGATGCCAGAGTATTTGTACCCTTTCTGTGCATTTTATTCCCAATGTATAGCAATAAAACCTGGAATGACTGCTTGAGGGTGAGMAGTAACCTGAGCTCAAACTCAAGCTGACCTCTAATCTCACAGAAAAAGCAGTGTTATCCCTTTGGGATTAAAGTGTTTTGTTGCTGGATTCTAGCACAGAATGGAGATGGTCATGGTCAATTGTTGATTACGGTGTGTTCAAGGAGACTCTCCTTGAGCTAAGTGGAAGCAAAGTAAGTAGAAATCCTGTTTCAGTAAAGCTCCTCAAGCTCCAGCACTGAAAAGCAGGAACATACTCACACAAGCACTTTTTCTGCTATTTCCTCTTTGCTTTTCAGTTAGCTCAAACCTTGTGGGGATGTCCAGGCTATCACAGATCTGGTGTTAGATCAGTCTCTCTGCTTCCAGCCTGCTTCTGCTTGCAGCAAAGTGCTTACCCTGGGCTGTTCTGAAAGCATAAGAGATGCCGCTGGGCTCTTCATGAAGCCATTGCTTTGTTAAGGAGGTTAAATAAGATAAACTGCAGTAACAATGTTTCCAGGTTTTCATAGTCATAATTATATGTGTGACAAACAAGGACATTATAAACAGAAGCATGTACAATTGTAGGTAGGACTGAAACTGATTAACTTTGCAAAAAATATGTTTAAAAAAACTCCAAATCTAAACTACCTTTTGTTGTCTCATATATCTTACATTTATGAATAAATTTGTAGACTCTGAAGAAACAGACTCTGAAGAAAATTTTCATGTGTTTGCATTTACCAAAATAAAATAATTTTTTTTAAATTAATCATTTAACCATCAGAATAGTGCAATGTTATCTTCTTTTCACAGATGGGAGAAACTGGAGGAACAGAGCTGTGAAGTTACCCTTTCAAAGCTGTACAGGAGGCCAATGATAAATCCAGGTGTAGTAGYCAAGTCTCCAAAATTCAGTCTAATGCCATCAACAAGTCAATGTAATGAACAAGGAAGTTTGTCTTCTCATGTTACAGTGAGGTATGCAATAGCACACCTGTGCATTAATAATTTATCCAGGGGGAACACATTTGAATATGTATATTTGTCTATGGCCTTGTAAATACTTTGAAAGATTTCTTTGAATTCTGATTCTGAATTCAATAGATAATAATTTTCTTTATAGCTGATAATTTTTTTCCACAATTTCTTCATAAGTCATGTTTAAAACATATGTTTTAGAGTTCAACTTTGGAGTCTTCTTTGGGAGTCCTGAACACCTCACACTTCAGATTACCTTTACAGAAGACAGTAGATAGTTTGGAGCTCAGAAAAAGAAAAGGATATTGTTCTTAGCACTGGAAATCATTTTCATAAATATTGCTGTAAATGCATTGGAAGAATCAAAATCTAAGCTCTGACCCTGGTTTAGCTGTAGGGGAGGCTGTGGGAATAGACCCAGCAGCAGAGGAACTGTGAATATGGAAGCCCATTACAGAGCCTAATGCCGCCTGGTGCATTGAGCAGCATCTGTCACAGTTTTGGCAAAGGTGCATCCTGCTTTCTGTCTCTCATAGCTGTGTCCTCCTATACTGAGTCAGGAACATATGCACAGTACTTGTCTTTGAGATCTAATCTTTTGGGATGGTGAGCACAAATAGTTGCCTTAGCAGATGGTTTCACTTGCAGTTGAGAGTTTGAAGCAGCCCAGCAGCTTTTTGCATTGGATAGGGAGGGTTTCCTTCTGTCTGTTATCTCAATCTGACATAGTGATGCATTGGGCTTCCCAAAATGGGGCTGTTTCCAACACTGAAACACCATGGAAGCACTGTCTTAGTAGCAGGTAGCTTTGTAGTTTATTAAGAGCAAATATTAAATCCTATTGGAAAACGATATTACTTCTACAACACACTCCTTATGGCACCTTTAAATTCCAAATCTGTATTTTCAACAGCTGGCCTGCACACAAGTGATGACCATGCTCAGAGAATAAGTGTCTGGTTAGCAATAATCATGCCTACAAAGTATCTGCAATTCATCCATGCTTCTCCCACCAGCAGGTGTCATTCTGGAAAAAGGAAAATATTATAAATTCCTGAATTGGAGAATTTGGCTGTGACAAAGAAGAAGAAAAAAAAGTTTGCTTAAAATATAGATTTTGAGGGATACTTTACTCCAAACTAAAACCAAGATAAATCTGGCTTGTCTGCATTTTTTAATAATCTTTGTGCAGCATGTAATGTTGATCTATAGATAGCAAAGGGAAGACAATTGGTAAGGCAAACCAATGCCTACTGAAAGCAGCCTTCTGTTTTTTACTACTCTCTGGGTGGTGTTTACCACTCACCACTCCCCTCCATGACTATGAAATCAGCAATATTCATCAATCTTCCCACAAGAAACAAAGAATTATGGTGTTGAATTCAGAGGTAAACTTGAAGTAATCTCATTGAAGAAACTGAAAGCAGAAATGTTTGGAATTTAGTCTGAACTAACCAAAAGTAGTATTTAAATTTCTACTCCATAAAYAACCCTCAAGCAGAAAATAATCTCATAATAATTTTAATGTCTCTTATACTACTTACGTTTCCTTTAAGTGTTCGTCTGGTTATTAGCTGCAGCCTCCTTTAAAACACAAAGACTGTTTCTGATGTCTCATGATCACAGTGAGAAAGCTGTGGCAGAGTTTCAAAGAATCAAGACCCTGCTGGTTCCTTGCTGAGGGGTCCTGGTCTATCAAGTCTAGTCTTTGGCTGTTAAAATCAAACTTACTATGAAATCCATGCAGGAGGTGCCTTGGCCACCTTATATGCTTCTGGAAGTTTGTTCCAACCAAATCAATGATGATTTTAAATATTTTTTGTGTCTTTCTGTCTTTTACATTTATCCAGCTCCCTTGTATCTCTGTTGTTCTTTTGTATTAAATAGTTTCCCCCCTACTGTTTGCATCAGCATGTAGCTGAGGGGTTTGGCCTGAGCTTCCTAGCCTGATTAAACACAATTTGCATTGTTTTCTTCCAGAAGCTAAAGTTTCCAAACCCCTGGCATTACTTTAAGTTAAATTGATCTTCTTTAAACAAAGGCAAGAAGAAGTGTGCACCCTTCGTTGTTGCCTTGAATGCAACATTAATGCAACAGCTTCCACACTCCTCTAGAAATACTTCTGCTGYATCTAACTTCTTTCTTGTAATTTCATCACAATCATTTTCCGTTTGACCAGTCCAGCCAGGTTTACTTTTTCATCAGCCATTTCTAGAAGGACCACAAAAGGCTATGTGCTACTATGATGTGATGGTCCACCAAAACTCTTCCTGGAATCAAAGGGAAATTTGCTTGAGGGGAGACATGAACACAAGTTCCAAGGTTTGGTTGCAAGCAACACATTAAAGTGGAAATTAATTTCACATTTTTAGAATTTTTGTTTGCAATGAAGTGATGAAAAATAGTTGTACTGTTGGCAGCCATTTTTTTCCCAAGATGTTATTTACTTACAAATGTAACAACGCTTTTCTTGTGAACAGTGTCAAGCAATCAATTGCTGAATGAGAAAAAAACAATGTATACATGCAGAATTGCAAACTTCTTCTAAAATAGCTAAAAGCTGTGTTCTTGGTTTTGCCTGAAGCCTGTATTAATATTTTCTAGCTTTTTAAATATTTAACTTTAGAAATGTAATGGTATTCTAAAATTTGAAGTCAAAGTATAAAAGTGTTGTGAAGATGTCTAGTTCATTATGGCCTTCTTTCAGGCACCTGAATTTCCACTTTGGAAAGCTGCTGTAAGAGATAATATGCCTCTGCAAATGCTTAACAAAATTAAGGATATCACGTTGGGGAAGATGATTCTATCAAGTTATTTTATTTCAGGTGATCAAGGCATAGAGGAAGGAAAGTACTTTCATATCTAACAAGGACAGAGATGCTGTATCCAATGGGATGCTATTAAGGGTCTGTTTTGAATTATGGTGGCTGAACTGAGCCTGTGCGCKAGTTGGGAATTGTTCTCGGTAAGCGGATGCACCATGGAAGGTCCTGACCAGGAGCCTGGGTCTTCTTATCAGGACTGTAGTAGTTTGAGGTTCAAAACTCTTGGTAGTCTTGCTAAAGGAAGCCTAATTCCCAGTTTCGCGCATGACGCAGCAAACTAATTTTGCTGAAGAAAGTAATAATTTCAGGTACCAAGACACTCGGATAGAGGGTATTAAAGAAATACTTCTTTAATTAAAGAAATTAAATTAAAGAATACATTAATTACACACACAATTAGAAACTTAYGTTAATCAGGTCCAGTTGCGATGGTCTGTTGAATAAGAGGCAAGTTAAAAACCTTGAATGTACTAGTTAGTGTAGTTACATAAAAATGGCACAATGTGGGGCTGAGCATTTCTGAATTGTTATTTTATAACAAGAACAATTTGTTGTATATAATGTACAAAAATTATATATTSAATGTGTATAAAATATATAACTCTTCTTAAAATAAAATTAAAGCTAATGGAAACTAGTGAATTCTGGATAAAATTCACCATGGACATTAATTAAGGTTGTGTAGACAGAGAACACTTTCCTGTGAGCTTTTTAAAATCACTTACTAGCATTATGATTGATAGGAATTTGGACTACTTTTGAAGAAGCTAAAGAAATGAAGTTTTTACAGAAAAAAATCATGATGGATGATGACTTACAAAGCATTCATAAAATCTGATTTAGTAATGTACAATGTTAATTTTATAGTTCGCAAGCAAAACAGAGAACTGTTTTCCTGTACTCATTTTTTTTAAAAAGTATTTATCAATCTTTTTCAGGAAGGACTCCCAAGGCATGGCTGTAATGGTTGTTTGAAACAAGAAACAGAGACACTTTTGGTGTCATTCACCTCTGATCACTGGGAATCTGAGCTTGAATGAAGACGGAAGAAAACTCCTACAGAGAAYTGGGAATGGTTTGTTTCTTAAGAAGGGTATAATAACATTTTAAATGTTTTTTCCAAATACCAGGGCATGTGATAAAAGTTTATGGACTGGGAATTAATTGAAAGACTGTGAAATGAGAAAGAATGAACATTATGGGAAGCCTTGGAGAGCGACTACCTAAGCACCCTGAAATTTGTGACCAAAGCCACAGAATATCCGAATGTGATGGAACTATCTCAGATGACTGTTTTTAAACATATAATTTGCCAGCCTCTGTAGTCTTCCCCAGACTGACTGGGAAAATACATACCTTTTATTAATATTAGTCCAGGGGACTGGTGGGTATTCTGGGGGGTGAAACATATAATTTATGGAATTTGCTACAGAATTCAGATTTTAAAAAAAGGCAGTGCTAATTTGTACCTGGGAGTTGGTATCTATTTTAAAAAGTACTGTTCTAAAGATATTTTTTTGACATTTTTTACATGTATTGAATAACACATCTATATGATGAAACATGAAATGTTTAATTACATGAATATACATGAAATGTATAATTAAAACAATGACCATAAGTATAGAATTGTGTAAATATGACCTAAATCATGTGTGTAAACATTAAATAAATGTTTCATTTCTAGAGGTTACAGAAAAGACTGAAAAAGTTTATACAGTCTTTCCACCTCCCCCCACCAGTTTTTGGTACAATTGCATTTTTAGCTAATTCATATATTAGTTTTTTAATATTTGCACTTGTGTTAAATTTTACTGAGGAACAATTTAGTTTGGGGAAACCACTGAATCTGTGGTTTGTGTTGTTTGAACAAGAAGTCCCAGAGTAATTGTCCCAAATGGCAATGTTTCTCCTACACTGGCAGCTGTGTATTTGTGGTGACCTGATGGCAATGCACGCAAAGACCGTGTGCTGTGGCAGTGCCTCTCACAGGGAGCACCAGCAGGGAAACTGGATGTGATCACCACACTCAGAATTTGCTCTTCTTGGTGAAGGCCTCATGTAGGCAGCACTTAAATGACACTTTTTGTTTCTCCACAAGGTGAAGGTAAGAGATGGAAACCATTTGAAAGCTATTGCTTATGTTCCCTGAAAGGGGATGGAGAGAACAGCTCTTCTGAGACACTGCTTTACACTGAACATGTGCAGAGCTGTGTCATCGGTAATTCTGAAAATGTGTTTACAATGGTTGGGTGAAATATTCAGTCACCATTTAAATATGTTAGCTCATACACRAACTTTAGGTGTCTACTGCACTTAACATTTCCAATAACTGGTTTCATTAAGATTTTTAGTGATGCAAATTAATAACAAAAGGCAGTTAATACAGAGTGCAGTTATGAGACCAAAATACATGTGGTTTAAATTTAAAGAGTTAAATGTTAGTATTTCCCTATAGAGAAAGGTAATTTGGGCTGACATTATCACCGCCCACAGAGAAGGGGAGCTGTTGATTCTATTGGTTAAGCAGAAATTCAGAAAAGGAAAATGTAGGTCTAGAGGGTTGGCTTGGTGTAAGTGAATCACACAGGAAAAATGCTGATACCCAGGGTTGTCATAGTGACCTTCTTTGATGGTTAGAAAGAGAAATAAGCACGGGATATTTTTGTCAAGTTCGAGGGTTTAGATTGCTTGCTAGGTAAAATTTGTCTTAGTTATTAATACGGTGGAAAGTTAAATTATGATCATGGAAATATGATAATAAGTGCTGTTGTAAATCAGGCAGAAATTATATTCTGTGGGTATTTAGAATATTCCAATGTGTTAGCAATTGGGCTGATGGGCTGCTAAGGACTTTAATATGGAAAATAAAGGAAAACTTCAGTCAGGAAGGTGTTTCTGGACACTGCCATGCTGCTTCTGGCAAATACTATTTGATAAGGTATAGGTAAACAACCAGCATTCATTTACCAGAAAACAGTGTTATCTGTATGTCTGGATTTCTGTTTGAAAAAGCCTTTGTAATAATCTTATTGGGACTAGTTAGAAACACATTATTAATAAAAAAGTTACAAATTTGCCAGTATGTAAAGTTAGTTTAATCTGAAAAYTCTGTAAATTTTTTTATTATTCCTGGGAGAAAATGACATAAAATTGAATGTGTTTGAGTAGTTTCATGCAGACATGGGACTGCACAGAAAATCCAGGTATCAGTATCACTGCTTGTAAGTAGATTTTGTCTCTAACCCTCAGTCAGTCGGCTTGAACACAAGCTGAGCTATCCCAAACTACCAGTTSTCTGCACTTTGGCTTTTGAAACTTTCCATGTGAGATATAGTTTCAACTTGAAAAGTCAAAATACAGCGGTTTACAATCAGTTTTACATTGGTTGAAGCTAAAACTCGAAACAAAATTCCTGGAGTATAGAACTGTATGAAGCAAAACATAACAAAGTTAACAAAAAACTCAAACTGAGCAAGCTAGTTTCACTCAGCTCTTGAAATAACCCCTTTCAGCAAGTTCACTTTTCAACTGCACATGTGTGAGATGTCAAAAATGAGTTGGTTTCACAACCCCATGCCACAGATAAATGTCACAACTCTAAAGCTTCACCCTCTTGTTGAAGTAAAGTCTCACACTCATTCCCTGTTTTGGCTTATACATTTGAAATCTGACAATAGATGAGATTTTCTCAGTTCTAAGTTAGTTACACTGAGCTTTTGTTCATCTGTAAAATGAGGAATTTTGGTAWGACCCAAATTCCAGTTTGTATGTTTTTTATACTTCTATCCAGCACTGAGAATTTTTTTCCCAAATCTTTATCAATACTCTAAATGGCTCCTAGTCCSAAAAGGAGGATAGCCACTTCACCACCTGGAGGTCATTGAAGGATTCACGTGCTTTAAGTTCGAAACTTGATATTTCAGAGGTGCTAAACACCTGCTGCTCTTCCTAGCTGGTATGGGAGCTGCAGGCTCATGTCCTTGTGAAGATCAGACCCCTCATCCTGTAGTGCATTCATACTGGGGAAGTGAGCAGTCCTCTGYTCTGTTTTCAGTTTTTGCAAAATTTTAGTGTAACTGGCTTGAAACAAACTGATGAGCTGCACTGATATTGTCCTGGTTTCAGCTGGCTGGTACAGTGCTGTGTTTTGGATTTAGTATGAGAATTATGTTGATAATTAAACATTAAACAATGTTTTAATTGTTGCTAGGTAATGCTTACTGTGAATCAAGGACTTTTCACTGTCTCATGCTCTGCCAGTGGGCATGTACACAAGAAGCTGGAGGGAGCATGGCCAGGATGGGTGACCTGAGCTGGCCAAAGGGATTTTCCATTACAAAGAACATCATGCACAGTATATAAACTGCTGGAGTTTGGCTGGGAGCTACTCATCACTGCTTGGGGATGGTCTGGGCACTTGTCAGTGTGTGAAGCAAGTGTATTGAGCATCACTTGTTTCTGCTGGATTTTATTTACACACCCCCTTGGTCCCCAAGGTATTTTCATTACAATTATTATTATCTTAATATTTTCTTTTGTTTCAATCATTGCTCATCTCAGCTCAAGAGGTTTACTTTTTTTTTCTAATTCACCTCCCCATTGGTGCAGGTGGGGAAGTGAGCAAGTGGCTGTGTTGTACTTGATTGCCATCTGGGGTTAAACCATGACAGACAGAGACACTTTTAACAGAGCATTGCTGAGTATGTATGAGTTCAGACAGGTCAGAACCCTTTTGTTTGTTGGGCAGCTGGTCCATTTCCTTTCCCCCAAAAAACTGAGGGACTGAACTCCTGAGCTTTCTAAATTATCACTGAGGGAGAAGCAAGACCTCAGCAGCAGTGGGGCTAAGGGAGCCAGCTTCTAGATATAGCTCCATACTTTGGCAATTTAGTTGAGAAGAGCTAGAGTGATATTCAGAAAAAAAAAAAAAGCAAAATAATTAGTGATGTTGTGTGCATGTATTTTGATTATTCCTGAGTCAAATTTTCCTGGTGAACTGGTATCTATAAAAGTGCAAGGGGAATGGCTGAGTATGAAGTTTTAAGGGTGTCTTGTAATACAGCTCACAGACTTGAGTTACACGAGCGTTATTGTGAGTGGAATTTACAGTATAATGGCTCAAGAGTGAATTTCATGAGGTATGATCATATGTTACCAAAAAAAGCCCCAAAACATTGGACTGTTAGTGGAATGCAAATATTATGTGACTCTGAATCTCACTTTGTGTTTTAAACCATGAGGGTTTAGACCTGAGTCATCATAACTTGTGAGTAGAAGATACATGTATTTATATATGCATGCATATATAGCATGCAAGCTACAAAGAAGGCTTCTGTCTTGGGGTTATTTTCCCCTCAAATTTCAGATTTGGTTCTCTGTTACTGTAAATCATTATAGCCTCAGTGAAAAGTCAGAAGTCAGCTTAGTTGTTTCAAGATCTTGCTGCAAGATTTGAAAAGAAATCTGCGCTAGAAATCTTCAGAGGCTTCTAGTTTCTTCTCTGTTTCAATTTTCAGATCATGGATCATCAGACCATGTTGCACTTTTCTTACACCCCTACTTCTCCATGGTGCTTTCTGCATGGAGCTGGTGTTAGAATTTGTCTAACCTCTAATTTGTCCTGTCAGAGCATTCTAATCTTGAATTAGAGGGAGTAACATTGTTAGCACTGCTAAAAGAACATCTTTATCCCAAGATCTTTATTGGACAAGTCCAGTAGTTAGAGCAAGAGCTGGAGAAGATGGCCCACRAATGCCTGCTAGCAGCTGCAGAGGCAAATAGGAGAAAAAGTTATTTTGTTTCCTTCTTTCCACTGAATTCATCACTTGTCTTMAACCATGCATCTAGCCAAGCCATGCATAGAGTGACTTGCTGAACAGAAGACTATGAGGTAGGATTAGAGGCTGTGTTTAAGACAAAATCTGCTTCAGTCYAGAGAACAATCTCACCACAAAATAAAATTAACTTTAAAAGTAATGAGATTTTCCACTGTTAACCTAATAGCAGCAAACCATATGTTCTAAACAATGCTCTAATTTCCTTTTTTTTTTTTTTTTGGTATAAGGACTCATTTTTAGTAACAAATCCTAGACTACTAGCCCTGCCATTTTTCTGCTGCTGGAGGAAAACATGGACTCTTGCTGAGCTGTATGGTGGATACAGCTGGATACATCTGAATCTAGCACCAGTAAAAAGGCCTCTAGAATAGTAGTATGGAGGAACCAGTTTAAGGTAGAAGAAATTAAAAAAATGGGAAAAAGAAGAAACATCTCTTTGGACCTTTAGTTTTGTTATTTTTTTAGATTATATTTCCTCTGGRCTCCCAAAATCTTCAGTAACAAACAGGTTTTGTTTTAAAAAGTATTAAGTTATGAAAACATTTGCCAGGTCCTAATCTTAAATCCTAGCAGTCAGCAATGCTTAAGTTCAGCCATATCATTTTGCTGAGTAAGTCATGGTGAAACTTAAAGTTTTCCCCTCAAAATGGTCTTTCCAAATGAGATTGATATTGTGAGAAAAAAAGAAAAAAAGAGAAGAAAGCCTTCATCATGAGGAATTATGGAATTAATTTTCTTTATATACTCTGTTTGCACAAGACATTTTTGTTAACTCTTAATAAAAATACCACTCAGCTGCTACTTTCATTGTTTTTATCCTGGGACCAATACAACATTGTCATTATTGGATATAAAGTGCTGTAAAAACAAATCTAATTTGTTAAGTTTATTTTGATAAGAAATAAATATAAAGGTAGTGCATAGTTTGAGCAGTGCTGCTATCATAGGACTCCTGGGTATACTTTATATAAAGAAAATAAAAAAGCATACATAACTTTCTAGTTGATTTCCTTTAACAGGGCTAATTGAAAACAGTTTCTGTTATTTAGAAGTAATTTATTTTAAATACACTTTTTAAAACAAAGTTCTTATTGATATCCATTTTAAGTATATTATCTCAGTGTGGGATACAAGTAAAAGGTCACATCTTGTAGGAGTATTTTCTGTTTGACTCAGTTCTGATCATAGATAAACTTATCGGGGAAACCAAATTAGTTAACCTTTTCACTACCAAAAACTCGTTTTAACAGGCTACGATGGTTTCTTTTGCAAACACAGGACTTCAAAGCTTGTGCTTTTGTTCTGAAACATGAAAAAGAGAGGGCTAATTTCCCGTTTCTCTAAGGCAAATATTCATTATTTTAAAACGAAATTAGACTTGTTGAGGTTCTATACAAAGGCACAGTAAAGTATATACTATTAATTTTCAGTCAGGAGTTGCTCTTCATAGTGGTGCAGAAACAGATGCTTTTAAAAAACTTTGATTATGTCTGTAATTTATGGACATTGTTGAATGATATATTTTTTCTTGCCCAGTAGCTTAATCCATATGTATGGATCTGATTACTGGAGCACTGAAAGACAAAACGGCTGTAGGTGGCATATCTCTGGAAAGCAGCCTCTTTCCTTATGGCTCGATAGGTTGTCCAGTTCCTGCCCRGTTAACTGGTTTGTGACATTTCTCAGAAATCCCTTCAGCTCCGCTTCCTCCTCTGTTTCCATCACAGCAGCAGCGACTGTTCAACGACTTTGGTTGTTTCAATACACTCAGTTGAACTCAGCAACAGCCGAAACTGCCCTCCTTTCCTAAAGCCAGATAAAGAGTGATTAAAAGGCTTTAATGGACTTCAGACCACACTCACGTCTGAGAAAGACTCCCTTTCTCAGGGAGAATCTCAGGATGCTAATGTGCCAAAGCCCCCTTCATGGCATTTGGCAATCTCAGTTATCAACACARTTTAATGTGGTAGCTGGGGGACAGTTTGACTCATGCAGAGTTTTGCTTGTGAACTCATTCCTACCACCTTGACTTATTTTGCAGAGAATCTACATTCACTGACTTGTGTGAAAAAGTTATGCTGAAAGGGATTAAAAACAGTGTCTCTCCAAATGGCTCCCAGAGAGCTACATTTCAGGCAGTATCTGGTGGAGAGCTCTTGAAACAGAGATATTACTAAKATTTCTAATATTCAGTGAAGTAAACACATTAAAAATATCCAAGAGTGAAGATATCTAGAAATCTGGTTTTAGCTGAGATGTGGGAGTACACTGGTTCTGCACAGCAAGAAGTCAAAAAAAAAAAAAAAAAAAAAAAAAAAAAAAAAAAAAAGTAAGGCTTGTCCCAAGTTGAACTCTAATGGGCTTGGGGTGGAAAATTTGCCAGCCCTGGTCATATGCAGTAAAACATTTGTCTCATGCTGGTAGTGGCAATGAACATTTTTTTTTTCTTCCATAATTTACAAAGTATGAGCAAGTAGGTAGTTAAAGCATTTCAATTCTTCCATGAATGGAATAATTGCACATGGTATTTTCTAAGCAGAGAAATAACTGGCTCTTGGGGAATTACTTTGTCACTCTCACAAAATGTAATTTCATCCAAATGGGAAAAATAATGCAATTATCTGGGCAGATAATGCAGCACACTTGGCATACATGGGCAGTGAAGATAGTCTTTTATTTCATGAACAAGAGATGAGTGCTTTGGAAAACTTGTTGGATTGTTTTAATTATTAAAAGAGCGAATTCATGGTTTCTTTGTAGATCAGTCACCCTGTATAGTATTTTCTCTTTTGTTCTATTTAAATTTAGATTGGTTATTCATACTTCCTGGCAGTGGTTATAAGAGGAGGATGACTGAGAATTTCGTAGGTGAGTTAATCTCATTTTTACTGTGTCTCAAGAGCCACCCACTTTCCCTTCATATGACTCSATACCAGAAAGTTCTTGCAATTTTTGAAACCTAAGTTTTGACCTTCTTCTCTGCTCCGTTTTTGTTGCTCCCCTTTATTTTTCTGCATATTTCTCAATTTGCAGCCCACCCTCACCAGCCCAACACTTGGCTCACCTCCACATGCGCCTTCTCCCTGAAGATTTGGGTGGGATTGCCCAGAGGGTATTTGAGCTCAGGGGATCAGTAGAGAGTGTTCAGTTGGCTGCTGACTCAGAGGGCTAAAAGCCCTGAGGACCCCAGCAAAACCATGTCCGTAAGAATCATGCCCTGAAGATGAGCATTTTCCTAATGTCCCTAAGGAGTCACTGAGACATCAGGGCTGCCGAGACTGGGGGGATTTCTGGAACAGGTGAACACAGCGAGGTGTTGA